TTCTATTTTCAGTAGAGATGGGGTCTCACTCTTGCTCAGGCTGGTCTTGAACTCCTGACCTCAGGAGATATCTGGCCTCGGCCTCCCAGAGTTCTAGGATTATAGGTGTGAGCCACTGTGCCTGGCCCAGAGTAGTGATTGAAGACCAACCTAAATGTCACATCCATGTCTTGGTCCTTGTCTTACCAAATGGGTCATATCCTGTTTCTTCATTGTTTCATCACCCGAGAGCCAGCTCAGCCATGATGGAGCAAGACAACAACCAGAACATGCTGGAATGAGGCCAGAGCTGAGCGCTCACCACTTCTTGTTCTTGGGCTCATCCCATGGGTATTTATTAAATGTCTACTACACGCGAGGTGCGGTGGTGTATACAAAGGTGAGTGAACATGGTGAGGTGGTCTTGCCAGGTTCCTGGTAGAGGACAACAGGCTGTTCTCATCACGGCTGTGGGGACAGGGTAACCAGGCAAAGCCACAGCCGAGTGGTCAGAAGAGCAGCTTCAGGGAGACAAAGAGCGTGAGACAGTGTGACAGGACACGGAGTTAACGGCTGGAGACCAGCCTGCCGTGCAGCGATTGGGAATGGAGTGTCTCTTCTGCAACAAAGGAGTTGAGCAAATCATGATTCCGAGAAGCAGAAAAGCAAACAGCAGGCTTTCTGAAAACGGTTGCTGTGACCACACACCCAAAGACAGTTTCACGTTAGTTTCTGGGCCCCACCTGTATACGCTGGTATTAGCATCAGCATTGTCTTGGAAGAGGGTTAGTGTCTCACATGAGACATTAGTTTAAAATGTTATTTAATTCAACACAAATAAAACTTCCTTATTCTGCTGCCAGGGAAAAAAAATTAAGCAAATAGCAAAATCTCTCAAAAATTTCACTTTGCACACAATTTATACAGATAACTGTGCCTAAATTAGAATTAGAGTTCTGGGGCAAATTACTGGATTTGTGTTTGTGTCTTTGCTTGCAAATCTGTAAATGGTCTAACAGTCCCCACCTCGCAGAGTTACAATGAGGACAGGGTGAGGTAATGTGCAAAGCCCTCACAACGGTCCGGGCACAGAGCAAGTGTTACATACGTGTTAGCCACGGCATTATTATTAAATCACTATGTGGAGCTCAAAGCCAGACCAGAACTCAGTCGGTCCCTCCCCTTCGTCCTTTGTCTGTCCTATCCCTAGAGATCTTTTGGGTGAACATCTACTTATTACATAATATTTTTTTGAAAATCTTTTTATCCTCGAGACAGTGTCCACAAATTTAATCTGGTACTTTGCAAATTTGTGAGGCCCAGGAAATTCTTTCCTTTGTACAATATTTTCAGACTACCATGCCATGGGAGGTGACAGCTGTGGTAAATCTCGTGAGCCTTCTGGTCTGCAGCCATTTCTTAATGGAAAGGACTATTTCTGACCTTCGGTTCTCAGCAGTTACAAATGTCAAAGGCAGACCTTTTCCCTCCTCCCAGGCTCTCCTCCCACTGTCCTGTCCTCTGCCGGCCTTCCTGTCCTGCAGCTTGCCGCCTTGTAGATAAGTGGATGCTGAGGGGGTGCGACTGGGCCTACTGGGCCGGCTCTGAACGGGCCTGGGCCTGAAATATCTTCCTCCCCCCCCCCCCCCCGCAAAGGCTGGGCATCCCGTCGCCTGCATTGTGCTCTGAGGGCTGGGCAAAGGGGCTTCCCCTCCAAATTCAGCACTATAAATATGCCTCTGGGTTAGGACTGTGTGTCACCCAGAGTCCTGAGATAAACCACCCCTTCTGGGTGGGAGCATTAACCCATTATCTTCCCAAGCTGTTTAGGAACACAGGGCTGGGACGGAGGATGTTTTAAGGAGAGGCCCCAACTGGAGGCTTGCAGGTAACTCTGGACTACAGGCATGTTTTGTGGGATACTACACGTTTTAAAGTTGGTTTTTTTTTTTCCTGGTAACGTGTCAATGTTTTTAAACCAGGGTATTTTATAAATTCTTTTAGAAAAAAACCCCCACAAAAATAGAAACACTAGCAATATTGTCCTGTAGCCCCACAAAATAACAGAGGTCTCAGGTGTCCTCAGCCAGCTTCCCTACCTGCCCCAAGGCCTCTCACCGTGGGGGAAATGTTAAAGGACAGGGCTGGGCACGTGGAACTCACTTGTCTGTTCTATAACACTCCAAATATTTCTTGTAACTCTACACATATGAAACACAGAACACAAATACAAATTATGAAAAAAAATAGATGATACAAAGTGACATAATTAGTCCTTTTCCTAAAACAACTTAGGGATTTTTTTTTTTTTTTTTTTTGAGACAGAGTCTGTTGCCCAGGCTAGAGTGCTGTGGCGTCAGCCTAGCTCACAGCAACCTCAAACTCCTGGGCTCAAGCATCCTCCTGCCTTAGCCTCCCGAGTAGCTGGGACTAAGGCATGCGCCACCATGCCCAGCTAATTTTTTCTATATATTTTTAGTTGGCCAATTAATTTCTTTCTATTTTTAGTCGAGACGGGGTCTCGTTCTTGTTCAGCCTGGTTTCAAACTCCTGATCTTGAGCGATCTCCTGCCTTGGCCTCCCAGAGTGCTAGGATTATAGGCGTGAGCCACCGAGCTCAGCCCAACTTAGAGATTTATTGAGGAAAAAATACGCATGTTAAACTTCAAATAAGGATACATTTCTTACATTTTAAAAGCATTTTATATTTTCACATCCATCATCTTTTTAGAGATAACATCTGCGTCTGCAGAGCCCAGTATTAACCTCCTCATGGTCCCTATTACCTGCAGTGTCTGTCCCTAACTAGACCCAACTCCTTGAGGCCACAGACTGTCTTCTAATTGTATCCTCAACACCAAGTGCAAAAGGTACCCAAGGAATATTGAGTGGGGGCGCCAAAGACCTCCATTATTTTGTGGAGATGCAGGACAATGTTGCTAGAGCTTCTATTATTGTGTTTTGGTTTTTGGAAAAGTTATAAAATATTCTGGTTTTAAAATATATGTATTGAGGCCAGGTGTGGTGACTCACCCCTTCGCCTGTAATCCCAGCTCTTTGGGAGGCTGAGGTAGGAGGATCACTTGAGCCCCAGAGTTTGAGGCTGCAGGGAGCTATGACGACACCACTGCACTCTAGTCCTGGCAATAGAGACAGAGAGACCCTGTTTCAAGAAAAAAAGAAAAAGAAAAGGCAGCTTTAAAAAAGTGAGTAGCTGGGAGGCCAAGGCAGTGGATTGCTCAAGGTCAGGAGTTTGAAAACAGCCTAAGTGAGACACCCCGCCCCCACGTTCTCTACTAAAAATAGAAAGAAATGAAAACCAACTAAAAATTTATATACAAAAGTTAGCCGGGCATGGTGGCACATGCCTGTAGTCCCAGCTACTCGGGAGGCTGAGGCAGGAGGATCGCTTGAGCCCAGGAGTTTGAGGTTGCTGTGAGCTAGGCTGACTCGACGGCACTCACTCTAGCCTGGGCAACAAAGTGAGACTCTGTCTCAAAAAATAAAATAAATAAACCAGTGAGTAGAACCAACAAAATGCAACTCACCAGTAAATGGAGAACAAAAACTTAAAAATAGTGACCATTTATTATCTTCCCTGTGCCAGCCATTTTACATATATTTATTTTTAACTTAATAATACATGGAAGCTGGGCACGTTGGCTCACGCCTGTAATCCTAGCACTCTGGGAGGCTGAGGCGGGCGGATTGCTCAAGGTCAGGAGTTCGAAACCAGCCTAAGCAAGAGTGAGACCCTGTCTCTACTATAAATAGAAAGAAATTAATTGGCCAACTAATATATATATAGAAAATTAGCCGGGCATGGTGGCACATGCCTGTAGTCCCAGCTACTCGGGAGGCTGAGGCAGGAGGATTGCTTGAGCCCAGGAGTTTGAGGTTGCTGTGAGCTAGGCTGACGCCACGGCACTCACTCTAGCCTGGTCAACAAGCGAGACTCTGTCTCAAAAAAAAAAAAATAATAATAATACATGGATAATACTTGCAGTTAACAAATTTAAACAACACATCAACACATTGAGAAAAAAGCAAAAGCCTTTCTCATCCCTACCCCTACCCTGCACCCCTCCCCAGATGTTACTAACACTATGGAGTTGGGGGTGCATTCTTCCAGATAGAAATGGGTAAACAGACATCTCCAAGCCCATCATGTGTCAGATTTAGCCCCATTTCACGGATGAGGAAACTGCAGCACGGAGAGCTTGGAGTATTCTTCGAAGACAGAGCTGGCGAGCCCTAGAGCTGAGATTCAAATCCAGATCAGTCTGACTCATAAGCCAGCGGGCTTTCCTTCCACTAAGTCCCTAGTGTAAAATTTTATGGAGGAAGAAATCGAAGCTCACAGAGGTCCGGAGCAATCAGAACCACGTGGTTCACTGCCCAACGCGGGAGAGGCAGGGGTGACTGGGCTTGCAGGGGAGGCTGCGCGGAGAGGGCTGCGACCGCGGATCTGGGGTCGCTCGGGACCATCTCCGTCCTCGGCCCTGCCGCTTGTCCAGGCCACCAGGGTGCAGGCTCCACCTGGGCCTCTGGACGTCCCTCTTGGGCAGGCGCGGCACTCGCACCGCCCTCCCAGAGCCGGTCGGGAGGCCTGGGGCGCCGAAGTCCCGGGCCCCAGCGGGGCTCAGGAATAGTGCCCGGGAGCGACAGCTGCCTCGGAACCGGGATGGGACTGTTTGGACTCCTCTTCTTCTAGCCGTCCGGGGGCGCCCAGCGCGCAGGGGCTGCGGAGGCCCGCAGTCCCCGCGTGGGTGGCCCTGGCGGGCGGGGGCTGTGGGGTCGGCGGTCCCCACCCCGGGGCCGCCAAGGGGCGCGTGGCGGGCGGGTGGGGCGCTGGCGGGGGCGGGGCGCGAGGGCGGAGTCGCGGCCGGAGGCGGCAGTGTCCGGAGCCCGGCTCGGGGTCCGGAGTGGCCGCCGCGGAGCCAGGCTGCCTCGAGAGAGCGCCCGGGCGCCGAAGGGTTAGCCAGCCGTCGGGGGCGCGCGGAGCAGGTAGAGACTCTCCCTGGGACCCCGGCCCGGCCGCCGCCTCTGCACGCGTCCCGTTAGACCACCCATCCCGCGAGCCCAAACTGCCCTCGCTCCCCGCGCTGTGCGCCCCCGCCGCGACCCCCGCCCGGCTCGGAGGATCTTCCAGCCCCCGGGATAGGATTCCTGGGGAGGGGGTCTGATCCCTTGGAACTCTGGCCCCATCACCCGGGGCGGGGAGGGAGCCAAAATTCCTACTAAGTCACATAGTGAAGTTGGAAAACATACTCAAGACCTCCCTGCACGCGCCGGCGCCTCCTGCCCTCCCCTAGGAGGGTGCCCTTGGAGGATGTACCCTCGACGCCCCCATCCTCGCCCCGCGGCTGGGGACAGGGTTGCTGGGAGGGTGCAGGTGGGTGCCCTTGATCTAGCTCGAGCCTGATGGTGGAAGAGGCTGATCGAAAAGAAAGACACCTGTTGGGATGGTCCTCCAGGCACTATGAGGACCAACGAATTCTGACGCAGGACAGGGACTCTCCACCGGAAACCAGAAACATACTGTCCCCCGCCCTCCCCAGCAGTGACCCATTTCCCAGAGGTGAGTCCCTCCTGGGCAGAAGGGTTAGCCCTGCAGGTCGTTCCCTTTATCCTCACTGGCCAGCGCGGGGAGGTGTGGCCAGGAGGAGCCCAGGTTTGTCCAGCCTGGGGCCAGCCTGGCACCAGAGTGACCACTTCTGACCTCCACTTTCCTCACGCCAGCAGCGAGAGACACCAGATGAGAGGCATGAAAAGGGGTGAAAAGCACAAATGTGTGTCTGTTTCCGCAGAGGAGGGGGTATGGGCCCCCTGCCCAGCTGTGCAGGGGAGGGTGGGGTGGGACTTTTCCAGAGAGGGAGCCAGGCCTGGCCTGGGCCCCAGGAGCTCACGTCACCCCCACCCCTCACTTCTCCAGGGAACTGCCAGAGCCAAACCCGGCCCAGGACAGGATTATGTGTACTGGGTAGACCCGCAGAGAGAGGCCGAGAGGAGACCTGGGGTGGCAGAGAGCGGCAGAGGCTGAGAGGAGGTGGAGAGGGGACCCCGGCATCAGAGAAGTTGCAGACAGTGACCATCACCCTCCTCCCCTCTCTTGAACCACAAGTAAGAGAGTCAGGCAGCGGCTGAAGGTGGACCATGGGCCCTGCCCTTCTCCGGAGACTGTGGCTTCCCCACCCCTGTCAGGGCAGAGCCGCTGACCTCAGTGGCCAGCCCAGCCCGGGCAAGGAGTGGCTATTAGCAGCCCCCTCCCCAACCCCAAGCAGCCAAAGTGACCCTGCCCATTCTGGCTCAGCCTCTCTGATCCCTCCATAAGATCTCAAGCCCTGGGGTCTCAGGGCAGGGAGTGAGGCTGAATGTTGCTATCCCCAAGCACATTCCCACCTTCCCTCTGTCATTTTTCTGCCCCTGAGCTGGCCCACCTCGCAACGACAGCTCCTTGGATTCCTCTCCTGGGTGCCTTTCAGATCCAACAGAAACAGTTCTTTTTTTCCTGGAAAGCAGAAGTAAGAGGAGGATGAGGAGTGGGGGTGGGAAGGGCTCAAAGGGAGAAGGAAGGGGCTGGAGGTGAGTGGGTAGGTGGAGAGAGTCAGGCTTTGAGGCCAGGGTAAGGTTGCAAGCCACGCTCCCCCGGTGTTCAAAGCTAGACTTTAGGATGGACTGGCCGGCTCTCCGGAATGAGAGGCCTGCGATGGGGAGCAAGGGCGGCTTCTCTCCTTCCCACATCCCCCCAGCCCTTATAGCTGTGCAGGAAACAAGCCCTCATTGAACCAATGCCGGATGCTGGCACCCATGGGGTGGGGGTGGGGGGTAAATCGCCTGTTTTTTTTCTGGAGATTAAACCATCAACCCGCTTAGTTTATCCCTTGGCCAAAAAGTGCCTGAGGCAGGCAGCGATGTGCCTGACTGTTCCCTAAGGAGCTTAGCTAAGAAGGGAGGAAAAAGCTGGGAGGCAGGTGGGCAGCAGAGACGGTCGGGGAAGGGCCTTGGTTCTGGAAAATCCAAGGGGCTTCTTGTCAGCTCCTCAGATGGAGTGTCTGGCATATTCTGACCCAAGTCTCCCTCCTCAACGTTCTAGGTACTTCTGGGAGGGCAGGAGTGGGAGCTGGATGAAACCATCCTACGACAGAGCCTGCCTGTGTGTGCTGAGCTGGCCCTGAAGCAGCCCCTAGGTGGGACTCAGGGAGGAGCCGAGGTCAGACCCACCCTGTAGCATCTGCAGATGGACAAAGGCCGCATTCCTTCCTGCTCCCACCCTTAGGATCACAAAGGGGCGGGCCGGTCTCCCCCACCCCTCCATCCTCTCTGAGAGGCCCACTGAGGAGTCATCCCTCCCAGCTGCGAGCTTTCTGGAGACTAGAGAGGTAACCCTCAGGCTTCTGTCCCTGCAGAGTGCACCCCTCCTAGCCCAGATGCCTGAGTAGAGTTTGCGTCCAGCCCCCTCCTCCTTTGCCCTGGGGCAATCGAGGGAGGAGCGATGGAGAAGTGGGCGGGCAGGTAAGGGACGCTCCTCGGGGTCGAGGGATGGCTCTGTCCTTGAAAGTGAGGGAAAGGGGACCACTGGGAGGGGCAGGGGAAGTGGTGAGCAACTTCTAATTTCTGAGAAGTTGGCAGTCAGGAAGTGGGGCGCCTGCTGGGGGATGGGGCGGTGTCGCAACACCTCCGCTGGCTCCAGTCTGACGTCCCCCTCCTGCCTTTGGCTTGCAGGCCCCAGCTGTGTTTGATGCTGCTTCTGTCCCTCCCTCAGCTCTGCCTGGATCAGGAGGTGAGCGCTGGACAGGTGAGCAGCTGCTGCCTGCCTGCTTGCGGTCCTTTCATCTCCCCAATCTCTCACTCACCTCCCCAGGCCACGCCTCCATTTCCTGCGACCTCCGCTAAGCCAGCGCCCCTTCTACTCACACTCGGCCCATCCAGCCTCCCTGCCTCCTTACCAAGCAACATCATGAGGCCGAGTTCTAGTCCTGCCTCTACTACTGAATGTGGCCATGGGCTAGTAACAACTCCTTGAGCCTTGGACTGCATAGATACTCTGTATGGTGCCCTCTAAAATTATGCTAATTATATCTGATGTTTTTCTCTGTATAGGTGTTGTCCGGACACACTCTTCAGACACCTGCAGAGGAGAGCCAGAGCCCTGAGGGTGTCTGGGGACCTTGGGACCAGTGGGCCTCTTGCTCCCAGCCCTGTGGGTTAGGGGTACAGCGCAGGAGCCGGACATGTCAGCTCCCTACAGCTCATCATCTGGGCCTGCCCCTGCCTCCCCGGCCCCCAAGACATCCAGAAGCCCTCCCGCCGCGGGGTCAGGGCTCCAGACCCCAGACTTCCCGAGAAACCCTCCCCCTGTACAGGCCACAGCCTCGGGGAAGGGGTGGCCCACTTCGAGGTCCTGCTTCCCAACCAGGGAGAGAGGAGACTCAGGAGATTGCAGGGGCCAGGAGGTGAGGCTTTGACGGAAGAGGCAGGCCTTGGGCAGGGGGCGGGGCTTGGTATGAAGGAAAAGGGAGCAAAGGACACATGGCTTAGGGAGGCTTACCTTTGGTGCCCAGAAGTAGAATGGGGAGACAGAGCCAGAAATGGCCAGAGCTGTGACCCCATGTCTGCAATACCTTCTCAGGTCCCGGGTTCGAGACCCCATCAAGCCAGGGATGTTCGGTTATGGAAGAGTGCCCTTTGCATTGCCACTGCATCGGAACCGCAGGCATCCCCGGAGGCCCCCCAGATCTGAGCTCTCCCAGACCTCTTCTGGAGGGGAGGAGCCCCTTCCATCCCTGACTCCAAAAGCAGAACCATCCTCTGCAAACCACAGCCCCCAAACTCAGCTCCCTCCCACAGAACTGTCTGTCCACACTCTGTCGCCCCCAGAAGAACCTCTAAGTCCTGAAACTGCTCAGACAGAGCTGCCCCCCAGAACCAGGCCTGCCCTCCCACAGCCCCACCCTGGAGCCCAGGCCTCTGGCACAGGGCCCCCCTCGCCCACCCCCTCCTTAGGAGAAAGTGGCTTCTTCCACGTGTCCCCTCAGCCAAGAATGCCAAGTTCTCAGGGTTGGGCTGGTTCTCAGAGAACAGGGAGACGCCCTGATCCTTTCCCTTCTGTCCCCTGGCGCCGAGGCCAGCAGAGCCAGGGGCATTGGAGACCTGGGGGGAATCTTCACAGGCCCGTGGAGTCTGCCCCACACCACCCAGAGGGCTGGCTGCCTCTGCTGAGTGCTGGCCCCCACTCCAGCTCCCTCTGGAGCCTCTTTGCTCCCAGTAGCCCTGTCCCAAGATGTTCTGGGGAGAGTGAGCAGCTGAGAGCCTGTAGCCAAGCGGTGAGTTCTTTCCTGGACCACCTCCCCCAACCCAGACTTCCAATTCTGCTTCCCTGACACTGAGCCTGGGTCCTCAGCTTGTCTGATCTGGACCTTAGGGAGAGGGCCCTTGGCATCTGACCTCCTCAGGGTAGGGGCCTCAGAGCTCTTCCACAGACCTGACCCTCTGCCTTGCTCCCCAAATTCAGCCCTGACCCACACCACACCCCCATTTCCTCCCAGCGCTGACTCCTTTGTACCCCCCACTTCAGCCCTGCCCCCCTGAGCAGCCAGACCCCCGGGCCCTGCAGTGTGCAGCCTTCGACTCCCAGGAATTCATGGGCCAGCTATACCAGTGGGAGCCCTTCACTGAAGGTGAGGTTTCTAGCCCAGCCCCTGGGCAGGGGTGGCTCAGGCTTGGGGAAGAAGAAGAGAGGGAGATACTTGCTTACTCCTGGCCCTGAAAGATTTCCAGCCCCCCTGTTTCTCCATGTAGGCGCTTCTGTTTCTCCTCTGTGTCAGGCCTTCTCTCTTATCCCCAGGGCTGAGGTGAAGAGACTTAGCACAGGCCTGGGAAGGGGAGGGCTTTAGCTGGGGCCTTAGCTGGGGGTGGATGGTCAGGCTGGGAGGGGAAAGTGTCCAGAGGTCCCTTTGTCTGGATTCCTCAAGAAGAAGTCCACCCCAGAGGTGGGGTAAATGTTGCACAAGAGGGCCATGGGTGGAGAGATCCTGTCCAGTGGTGACAGCAGGGTGGTGGTGTGCCATGGATCCTCAGTGTTGTTGTATCAACTGCTCCAAAGTTGCCATCCATTTGATTTTAGGCCCATGACAACTTGACAGCAAAACCAGCTCTTATGAGCTCTGAACTCACATAAGCATAGGCATGAAGGATCTCTTCTCTGTCCGTTCAGAACTCCCTTGATGGTCTCAGTGACCTCAGTTGACCTGACCAGCTTTTCAGAGTGTGGAATTGTCATGTTCACTTCATACACAGTGACCTGGGCAACCTCAGCACACCCCATAGCTAATATAAGCAAAGCTGCTGTCAGTCCCTGGGGCCACCTAACCTCCCACCTGGGGCCTCAACTAACCACCCTTTCACCCTGTCCCTTAGTTCAGGGCTCCCAACGCTGTGAACTGAACTGCCGTCCCCGTGGCTTCCGCTTCTACGTGCGTCACACTGAAAAGGTCCAGGATGGGACCCTGTGTCAGCCTGGAGGCCCAGACATGTGTGTGGCTGGACGCTGTCTGGTGAGGGAGGACGGGTGCGCGCACCTGTGCACACGCGCACCTGTGCACACACACACACAGTCTCTTTCATTCCTCATGACAACAAAATACCAAATAGACTGAGATCGATCGCCAAGGAAAAATTCTCACCTGCCAAGCTGGGCCGAGCAAAGCCCAGAGGTGAACCTCGGGAAGGGTCCTAACAGGCACATACAGGCACATACGTGGTGGGGTTGACAAAGAAACACACTGTCACTTGTAACACGAAGAGCAAGACAGGTGGTGAGCTGCGGGTCCCAAGTGGACCAGGGTGGGGTGTGAGGTGGTGTCTGGCTTCCGCGTGGCCCCTGCCTCACCTCACTCTCTCCAGAGCCCCGGCTGTGATGGGATCCTTGGCTCTGGCAGGCGTCCGGATGGCTGTGGAGTCTGTGGGGGTGATGATTCTACCTGTCGCCTTGTTTCGGGGAACCTCACTGACCGAGGTGGCCCTCTGGGCTATCAGAAGATCCTGAGGATTCCTGCCGGGGCGTCCCGGCTCCAGATTGCCCAGCTTCGGCCCAGCTCCAACTACCTTGGTGAGCACGGCTGCTTCTCCTCCATTCCTGGCCTCTCTGTTCTGCCCGCCCCAGCGCCATTCAGCACAGTGAACAACTGAACTGGGAAAGGCCTCCTCCTTCCCCGTGTGGAGGCCAGGAGGAAGCTGAGAGGGCCTGGGGTATCATCTTAGGGTGGGAGCTTCTGGAAGTTAAGGAAATGGTGGGAGAGGGGCAAGGTATTACTAGCCTTGAATTTCCTGATCTCCCACCTCCCACCTGCAGCACTTCGAGGGCCTGGGGGCCGGTCCATCATCAATGGGAACTGGGCTGTGGATCCCCCTGGGTCCTACACAGCCGGCGGGACTGTCTTCAGATACAACCGTCCTGCTCGGGAGGAGGACAAGGGGGAGAATCTGTCAGCTGAAGGCCCCACGACCCAGCCTGTGGATGTCTATGTGAGCCTGGGGCCTGGGGCAGCTGCGCTGCTGGGGAGAGAGGAATCTTAGGGCAGAGCTGTGGGTGTCATGATGGGAAAGAGGGCTGGTGGCATGTTCCTCTTGCCACATCCACTACCTTCTCTTCTCCCAGATGATCTTTCAGGAGGAAAACCCAGGTGTTTTTTATCAGTATGTCATCTCTTCATCTCCTCCAATCCTTGAGAGCCCCACACCAGAGCCCCCCAGCCTCCAGCTTCAGCCTGGTAAGACTCTGATCTCTAGCCCTGGAAGGAGGAGGGAGAGGCAGTGGGGTGTGAATAATTTGCCCACTGGGCTCCCTGCACAGAGATTCGGAGGGTGGAGCCCGCGCCTGCCTCTGCGCCCCGCCCCGCCCGGACCCCGGGAACCCTCCAGCGTCAGGTGCGGATCCCCCAGATGCCTGCCCCGCCCCATCCCAGGGTGCCTCTGGGGTCTCCAGCTGGATACTGGAAACGAGTGGGACACTCTGAGTGCTCGGCATCCTGTGGGAAAGGTGAGACTTCATGCCTGCATTCCTGCCACCCTCAACCCAAATCCCCAACCTGACACTCGTGATCCCACATCCTGGATCATGGGTCCACACCTTGACCTTGTGTCTGGGACCCAGTTGAAACTGGGCTCCGAGCCATCCTGACTTTCCTGGCTGCCCTCTCATCCCCTTCAGGTGTTTGGCGCCCCATTTTCCTCTGCATTTCTCGTGAGTCAGGAGAGGAACTGGATGAAGGCAGCTGTGCGGTGGGCACCAGGCCCCCAGCCTCGCCAGAGCCCTGCCACGGCTCCCCGTGCCCCCCATAGTGAGTACAGCCCCAGGGAAGGTTAGGACACTAGAAACACAGCAATGGCTCCCAGGGCAAACATGCTCACACTGCCCACTGGATCTTTTGGGTTTTGTTTTTTTTTTTGAGACACAGTCTCACTCTGTTGCCCAGGCTAGAGTGCCGTGGCTTCAGCCTAGCTCACAGCAACCTCAAACTCCTGGGCTCAAGCAATCCTCCTGCCTCAGCCTCCCGAGCAGCTGGGACTACAGGCATGAGCCACCATGCCCGGCTAATTTTTTTATATATGTATATTTTTAGTTGGCCAATTAATTTCTTTCTATTTATAGCAGAGATGGGGTCTCGCTCTTGCTCAGGCTGGTTTTGAACTCCTGACCTTGAGCAATCCACCCGCCTCGGCCTCCCAGAGTGCTAGGATTATAGGTGTGAGCCACCACGCCCAGCCTGCCCACTGGATCTTACCTGGACTCTGCACTCAACACGGCATCTTCTAGCTGCAAAGAGACAATATTAGATTAAAAAGAGAGGCTTTGGAAAGTAGAGGCAGAAGAATTGCTTGAGGCCAGGAGTTCAAGACCAGCCTGAGCAAGCATGAGAGACCCTGTTTCTATAAAAAATAGAAAAATTTAGCCTGGATTGGTGGCAGTGGCATGAGCCTGTAGTTCCAGCTACTCGGGAGGCTGAGGCAGGAGGATCACTTGAGCCCAGGAGGAGTTTGAGGTTGCTGTGAGCTAGGCTGACACCACTGCACTCTAGCCCAGGCAACAGAGTGAGACTCTGTCTCAAAAAGAGTAAATAAATAAAGGCTGACACTCCATAGACAGCATGAACACCCTAGCAGCCCGGGCTCCCACAAGGAACCGAGACTCCAAGTGCTTCTCTGTGGGGCTCCACACCCACTGTGTCTTCCTTCTCCGATGCCGCAGCACCCCCATACATCTCACCTGTGTCTCTGCCTCTCCCCTGCCCTGCCCGCGCTGCAGCTGGGAGGCTGGCGAGTGGACATCCTGCAGTCGCTCCTGTGGCCCTGGCACCCAGCACCGCCAGCTGCTCTGCCGGCAGGAGTTTGGGGCTGGGGGCTCCTCGGTGCCTCTGGAACGCTGTGGACATCTCCCCCGGCCCAACATCACCCAGCCTTGTCAGCTCCGCCTCTGTGGCCACTGGGAGGTTGGCTCCCCCTGGAGCCAGGTGAGTAGGCCGGGCAAAGAGGCTATCAGGGGACATGGAGGATCCTAGAGTAGTGGGCACCTGTGAACTACAGCAGTGGTTTTTCCAGCTTCTTTCTCACCAGCAGAAACTTCTTACTAAGATTGATCCAGCGGCTGGGGGCCCAGAGTCCACACTCAGCCTCCTCTCAGCTGGAAAGCCAAGCAGCAGCTGAGCTGGGATCAGAGGCTGATGCTGGGTCAAAAGCCAGAGAGTGGGAGGCAGGGTGAGAAGGCCCAGAAAGCCCAGCCCTCGATTCCCTTCTCCCCAGTGCTCCGTGAGGTGTGGGCGCGGCCAGAGGAGCCGTCAAGTTCGCTGTGTTGGGAACAACGGTGACAAAGTGAGTGAGCAAGAGTGTACTTCAGGCCCCCCGAAACCCCCCAGCAGAGAGGCCTGTGACATGGGGCCCTGCACCACAGCCTGGTTCCACAGCGACTGGAGCTCCAAGGTGGGCCTCACACCCTCTAGCCAAGTTCCTTGTCCCTGGTGACCACACCCAGGACACCCTCTCAGCCTTTTCACACAGCTCAGTAAACTTTTACTGAGCACCTACTATGTGCTTGACCCTGGGAACTCAGAGATAAGTGAGAAAACACGAGGTTCTTGGACCCCTGATAAGATTCCCCATACCTGGCTGGTACCCTGGGACATTCCCTAACTCAAGGATCAGGACCCAGAACGCTTCCACCCCTAAGCCCTATGCCAGTCTCCAGCAGCCTCCCTTCTCAACAGTGCTCAGCTGAGTGTGGGACGGGGATCCAGAGACGGTCTGTGGTCTGCCTCGGGAGTGGGGAGGCCTTTGGGCCGGGCCAGGAGGAGGCAGGAGCAGGAACCAGTGAGCAGAGCTGTCCACAAGGAAGCCGCCCCCCTGACATGCGTGCCTGCAGCCTGGGGCCCTGTGAGATCACGTGGTGCTGGTACACAGGGCCCTGGGGTGAGGTGAGCAGAGAGCCTGGGAGGGGGCAGGAAGGGGCACCAGTCCAAGTGAGATTCCATGTGGGCACTTGGGAGCCATCTCTGTTCTCCCTTCCCCTCAAATGCCCTTCCCTTCCCCTACATCAGTGCTCCTCAGAATGTGGCTCTGGCACACAGCGTAGAGACATCATCTGTGTGTCCAAACTGGGGACTGAGTTCAACGTGACTTCTCCTAGCAACTGTTCCCACCTGCCCAGGCCCCCTGCCCTGCAGCCCTGTCAGGGGCAGGCCTGCCAGGACCGATGGTTTGCTACACCTTGGAGTCCGGTGAGTGCCTGGCTCCTTGCCCTGCTCAGCCTGGGCCTCCAGGGAAGGGGGGCTCCTCCCACTGCACCCCCTCCTAGTCTCTCTGTGCCCCAGAACAAGCCCTGCTGAGATTTAACATTGTCCCAGTTCTTGTGAACTTGGAGGACAGGTGGGCCCTCCCCATTTGAGATTTCATAATGTCTCAGGAGAGTCCCCCCAATCTTTCTGGGAGGGAGGCAGTGGCCTGGGGTTAAGGAGAAGCCCGGTGCACAGCAAAGGTCTGATACGATAGCCGGGGTCTCCCCAGTGTTCTCGCTCCTGCCAGGGGGGAGTGCAGACAAGGGAGGTCCAGTGCCTGAGCGCCAACCAGACCCTCAGCACCCGATGCCCTCCTCACCTGCGACCCTCCAGGAAACGACCCTGTAACAGCCAACCTTGCAGCCAGCGCCCTGGTAAAGAGCCCCCTCCCCCGACCCCCCAACAGAGTGGAGTTAGCTGAAGTATGGGAGGAGAAAGGACCAGTGGGAGTGGGCAGCACAGCTCCAGACGGGTGTATCTTGGTGACCGTCTTGTGCCCACTGACCTCTGTCCCCAGATGATCAATGCAAGGACAGCTCTCCACATTGCCCCCTGGTGGTACAGGCCCGGCTCTGCGTCTACCCCTACTACACAGCCACCTGTTGCCGCTCTTGCGCCCATGTCCTGGAGCGGTCTCCCCCGGAGCCCTCCTGAAATGGGTCCAGGAGACCCTCTCCATGGTTTTCTCATGCCGCCATCGGTCACCCATCGGCCAGCCTGCTTTGTGCCCCTTGGCTCTCCAGCCTGTCCCTGTCTCACCAGGGATATCCTCCAGAGTGACTGAAGGTGGCAAGGTGATGGACAGTGACTGTCAAGACGTGTGGTTGGGTCTGTGTGGTGCCGTGGTGGTGTGTGTGTCCACATCCCCCAGGATGTGTATCCAGGCCTGCATGGATGTGTGTGTGTGTGCGTGTGTGCGTGCTCATACATGTGTATCGCTTTTCAAAAAGAAATTACACAGACTGAACAGGAACGGGGAGGGTATAATACCTGTTTCCCTGAGACTTTCCTAGGCTGAGAGGAAAGCAAGTTTGCAGTTCTTTGCTAATTCGAACTTAGAGTGTGGTCTCCCCATCAACTCCAATTTTTTTTCTTTTCTTTTTTACCATCCATTGGACTCTCCTTGATAAATCAACTCCAATTTTGTGCCCAAACTTCATTTCTCATGTTCAGGCCTCACATCTTCTAAAGCACCCTTTTGTCCCTGACCCCTTCTCCCTTTACCTAGTCTCTCTATCCCTGTCTTCCTTCTTAGCTAGGGATGGGGGTCAGCCACCGCCCATCCTGCCTTACCCCAGGAAGAGAGACTGCCCGCAGAGCAGGGACCTGCTGGGCAGAAGGTGGAAAAAACGTCAGCATAGGACCCCCTGGCCTGACTCCCCACCTCCTCAAAATGGTTGCCACCCCAGAACTAATTTATTTTTTATTAAAGATGATCATGACAAATGAGAAACAGGCTCTTCATTGTCCTCATGGGAACCCAGCCACATGGGCCTCTAAGCATTGTGAGGTCAGAATATAGAGTGGGAAGGGGAACAGCACGTAGAGCCCAGATCACCTGAGGTCAAGAGCCTTGGTCTTCCCTTTAAGAAAGGCTGGGAGAAAAAATAAATAAATAAATAAATAAATAAAGAGCCTTGGTCTGAGGGAGAGGAGTCTGGCCAACCCCAGGCCCTGCAGGTTGGCCATTGACCACTAGAGGTCACCAATTCTCCCAATTTTGGTGTGGAGTTGGGAGTTTGGACCTAGAGCTGAGGCGGAAAACATGCATGGCCTATCGTGGGCTGAGTCTGTAAAATCTCTTGGAATCTACCAGTGGTACTCCTTTCAATTTGGGGTTGACTTGAAGGGCAGGTGGCTTTTTGGGTCTTTTTTCCTGTTCCGTTTCTTTGGCCCTGCCTTCCTGCCTCCCCCATGCTTTCTGCCACACCATTTCCCTAAGTGGTGGGGGAAAGGGAGGTGATTCCTGCCCCCATCCTGTCCTCGGCAGAAACGACTGGAGGAGGAGGAGCCTGGCGTGGCTCTAGGGGACTTGGGGCGGGGTTAAGGGAGGAGCCAAGGCAGTACTGGATGTCCTGCCAAAGACACGTTCCTCAGAGATGTCTCACCTCGTCCCCTCCCTCGTCCTCCCCCGACTAGTTCTCTTTAGATAAATAACTTGCTAGAGGTGGTGTGAGAGGGACAGCTTTTTCCATAACATATATCCTCTCCCCGACCCCCACAATTCTGAGGCCTAAGGCTGAGCCTTCCCAGGAAGGGGGGAGTGTGACAGCAGCCCCTTCCCACCCCTCCACCCCCATCTCCACAGGTCTGGCTGAGTAAGAACATTACTAAGGTGCCGCAGAAACAGTATGACTTGGTGACAGCCGTTTTCTGAGCACACCTGGACCCCGTGAAGGACACCAGTGCTACTGGGGAGACAGGATTTCCCTGCTCGAGCAGCCTCCCTCTCCTCACACTGTTGCCTTGAACTCAGGCTGTCCCTGGGTTGAAAGTGGCTGAGAAGGAAGAATTTGGAAGGAGGGCAAAAGAGAATGGAAGGGAAGGAAAGTGAACTGGGCAGGAGGAAAGCGGGATACTAGGAAAGCCCAGTCCCGGTGTCTCGGCTCAGCCTCAAGAGAGGCGTCAGACATGTTCCTAACTTGCAAGGGAGACCAGGGAAGCGGGACACCGGTGAAGGCTAAGGCAGAGTCCTAAGGCCTAGGGAGGTGGCGGCCAAGGCTGGGGCCCTCCCAGCGATTCCTGGAAGCTGAGAGCTGGGGCGGGGCCAGCTCTGCTGACTTCCCCGAAGTCCCCCTCCCTCTGCAGGCCTCTCAGGGCTGTTGCTGGGCAGGTTTGGAGTTTGGCCAGAGCCTGAGAACCAATGGCAGGTGGAGAATGCAGCCATAGCCCCTCTCAGGGCTCCCCCACTTCGGGACCTCCCCTATTAGCTCCTTGGCCCCTCACAGTCTCCAGCCTCTGACTTCTCAGAAGGTGGGCTCTCATCTGGTGGCTTGCACGCTTTTTCCTCTCATTATAAAGCTAGCATTCAGTACAGCCCCTAAGGATTCTTTCCGCAGGTCACTGAGGTCAGTATGGGGTCAGTGTGGAAGTTCTCTGGAAGGGGAACCTGATGACCCTAGCAACCCCTTTTCCTGGCCCCCTAGAGGGGAGTAGTGTGGCCAGTCACCTCCTTGTTGACCTCTGAAACCCTCTGGAGGGACTTGAGACGGAGGAAGCTGCAGCCCAAGGACAGCAGATGTGGTGGAGGGGCCCCTAGGTTTGGTGCCCTGGAGGGAATTTAAGGAAGGGCTCAGAGGAACTGCACCCTATTGAGATGGGGGTGGGTGATAGGAACAAACTTGATAAGCACTAGGGAGACCAAGCATGCAAAAGGCCAGCACGTTGCTGAGGACTCCTTTTTGAGTGTTTGCTGGGAGAGGGGGATTGTGGTGCTCTTATCACTGATACTAGCTGAACTGTGAGCTCTCACACGTTCAGCTGGGTCGGGATTCCTCTCCCCACCCCCTCCCAGTTTCCCCAGGGTAAATACCCACTAATTTAAGTTGCAACCTTTGGACTAAATTTAGCTCCTAGACTTCCCCAACCCCTTAGGCCTCCCTGTAAGCAGGTGCTCACAGCTGCAGGGGTGGGTCTGGTGGAGAGTCAGGATTCCTCTCCCCTCCCCATTTCCCCAGGGTAAATACCCACTAATTTAAGTTGCAGCCTTGGGACTAAATTTAGCTCCTAGACTTCCCCAACCCCTTAGGCCTCCCAGTAAGCAGGTGCTCACAGCTGCAGGGGTGGGTCTGGTGGAGTTTTAACTTATGCGTTCAGATTCATGCTCTCTGGCAAAGAGGAGGGAAGTGGAGCACTGGAACCCAGTTGCTGGCCCAGAGAATAGGGTCTCAGTCTAAAGCTGCCCTCTCTCTGGAAACCTGTAAGAGTAAAACTATGGTTGGAGGATCTAGACGTACATGGGGATAGAGTGAGAAAACAATGCAAGAAGCTCTCCTCCACATTCTCTCCAACCAGATCCTCTTTCATTTCTTGCTCTCCCCTTTTCTCCAGACTTAATGAGATTTCATTTTAACTTAACATCTCCCCCACTAGAGTAAACTGAATCAGGAAGACCTTTCTTCTACTTGAAGCATGGAGAATCATGCTACAGTAGAGATTATGGTTTAGGGAGGTGAGTGCTAGGGCTAGGGGTTCCCACTCTTTCTCCTCCCAATACCCCTCAAATTCACCATCTCTGGTGCTGGGAGGCAGCTGGTTAGAGAAGTGAGAGCAGAGGGAGCTTATTTGTCACAGATAGGTGATGAAGAGGAGTCAGCTTTAAAGGGTGGGAGGCACCTTCTACAGGAAGTAGAAAGCCTCAGGAAAGTACCTAAGTTTAAGTCTGTCAACAAGAGAGATAGTTTGGGTTAACTTCAAAGTAACCAGCACAAACCCTCAATCTGATTTTGGGGTCCTTGACCTAGAAGATTGGGAAAAACTCAAGAGGTGGGTGTTTCAAGGCTGAGGTCTGAAGGTAGACAAGATTTGAGGGGTAATGTATGAGACCAGTCCAAAACAAGGCATGCAAGAGGCATGGCAGTCAGATCCTAGGGAACCATCAGCCAGGTCAGTTGTATGGGGGGGGGGGGGGGGGTGTAGAGACGGCTGGAAAGGAGACAGACCAGAACATTTATCTCAGAGCACTGAAGAACTGTGCATGAGTATAGCCTGGGAAAGAGCCTCAGCATTAAAGGCGGAAGGTCCCAGGTTGGGGTTGGTTGTCATGTTTGCGTGTTGTACTTTTCTGAGCCTTGGCTGAATCTCATAAGAGACAGCTCCAGAACTCTGAGTGAAGAGGAAAAGAAACCGATGAAAGCTGGGGTGGTGGTGCAGGCCTATAGTCCCAGCCACACCAGAGGCTAAGAGGATCACTTGTGCCCAGGAGTTTGAGGCTGTAATGTGAGTGCACTAGGATCACACCTGTGAACAGCCATTGCACCCCAGCCTGGGCTTCACAGCGAGACTGGGTGCCTGTTATCCTAGCACTCTGGGAGGCTGAAGCAAGAGGATCACTTGAGGCCAAGAGACCAGCCTGAGCAAGAACAAGACCCCTTCTCTACAAAAAATAAAAAAAACAGCCAGGCTGGAGCCTGTATCCCAGCTAGTAGGGGTGGAGGATGGAGGGTGGGGGTGAGTGCTGAGGCAGGAGGATCACTTGAGCCTGCCAGGAGTTTGAGGTTGCAGTGAGCTATGATGACGCCACTGCACTCTAGCCTGGGGGCAACAGAGCGAGACCCTGTTAAAAAAAAAGGGTGGGGAGACAGTATTGTTAAAACCTGTTTACAGGGCAGAAAATAAAGGCTTGAGATCTAGTTTCTACTTATTAAATTCTACCTAAATTCCTTTATTCTTTCAGTTTTACTCACATAGAGCTCATTATCAAAAAAATAAAAATACTCAGTAATTTGGGGTTCCATGACTTAAATCTTGGATAGTGTTTTTTGTTTGTTTGTTTGTTTGTTTTGAGACAGAGTCTCCTACAGGCATGAGCCACTGTGCCCGGCCAAACCTTGGATAGTTTTAAGTGTTTTTGTTGTTTTCAAATTTTACGTGACTTCAGCATTTTAGGAAAATCCTGTCTAAATTTTATTTTTCAATACAAAGTTTCAAGAAATTAAAAATCCTTTCAAAATCATTATTTGGGTCCGAAAAATAACTATAGTGTATCAGGTCTTTGTTTAAAGTACACTGTCATGCAAACATAGGCTTCTGTAGAATTGCAATCAGCATTACTAATTGAATCACAGGGTTTTTTTCCAGGACAAACTCAAAGTTGGGTATTATGTTAATGTTACATACTTAAAAGTAATGCAAATGTATTTCCTTTAAAAATAATCTATATCTGGGACTTCTTACCAAATTTTCATTCTATATTACAAGTTTTTCTTTCATTCAATAGCACTGATAAATCCTTCATGGTTCACAATAGGGAAAGGAAGATAAAGAAACTTCCATCTGCAGACCTGACCCCAACTACCAAATTCTGAGGTGGGGGAAGGAGTAGGGAGCAGGTAACCAAGTGCTCCTCCCCACCATTGCCAAGCTCGTCAGCAGAGCTGTTGTTCCTTAGAGCGCAAAACAAGCCGCCTCATTTAAACACACACACACACACACACACACACACCACCTCATTTCGAAAGAAGTTGTTTCCCTCTTTCTGTTTCTCTGCTTTGCCTCATGAGGGATTTCTGAGAAATGAAAAAGTGTCACCACCCACAGCCTCAGTCTGCAGTTTTGGTTTTTTGTTTTGTTTTTAATGATGAAGGGGAGGGGTAGAGGAAAGGAGTATACTGCTTAAGCATATAGTATTAATCCAAAAATTACAAAGTAAGAGAAACACCCTTTCCACAGCCCTTCATCTGAGGTGTGCCCCACCTTTCCTTGGATCTGAGCTCTCAGCCTTCAAAAGG